GCGTCTCTTAAAGAACCACTCTTTAAAATAGGCCAAATTAAAATTAGTATAAATTTATGTCTTCGATGATTCCTACCCTAAACAACAAGGTACAGTATGGTTAAACCGGAATCTCAAACAATACAAAACAAAAACAATTCAGATTTCGCTGATAATAAAGAACAAAATACTACATTTTTTGGCTCTATTGGTAGACCTACTATTGTAGGAATGACTGACAGCCCACTACTGTAGGCCTATATTATTGTCTACAGTATTTGAGAAGAGAATGTTTTCACATTGTTCTATTTTCAAATGAAAGTGAATATTACTAGTAGACCAGCAATTCTAAATAGAATTCCATTCTCAAACTCAGTGCCTACAGTAGCAACACAAATATTGTACAAAACATCACAATTATGTACAAGAAGTCAAAAGGATATAAAAGTTCAATTCTATATAGTGGTTTTTGGTATTATAATTAAATAATTCAGCATGGCATTAATTATTGCATCAACCTTTTATTATCAAGAAACTGGTTACATTGTTGAATGATAAGGGGATGACAGAGTCAACAAATTGTGCACGCTCAATGTATCCTTTTCAGGTTACCGTGCATGAATGGGTTCGTAGGCATAATTCACCGGCAGTGTAATGAATTGTTAAATCAGTTGATGAATACCGATGACACCAGGTGGAACAAATACCCCATTTATGAGAATAAATCTGTGACACACACACCTATAGTACACAAAAGGAATTGGACTTGTACCGGTAATTCTGAAATTGATCAAAAAATTTAGTCACTCATATTGATACAACTACAAGTCAATGCATGGTTTCAGTTTCTTTGATTCCTAAAATAAACACAAAAAAATATAGTTTACCGCAGGTACCACAGGTGTGCCGTTATAAATGATGCATGAGACACGAAATTTTAAAAAGATTGACCAATGCCTCTCTCAGCGTGCGGGATCCATTCATAGAGAAAGGCATTATATTATGGCAATATTACCGCAATATTTGGTTGGTATGAATGGTTTATGCCAGTAAAAGTTTTTGTACTGTTATTTCCAGAATTTTTCCAGAGCCTCTATCTGAAAATGGCTTATGTGTAATGAAACACTTTGAGAAAAGGGGTTTTAAAATACAATCTTGGCCTCAGTGTTTTAAATGAATAAATAACACAATGAAGACAAGAATTTCTTTAAACGTTTATTTAAAATGACTAAGGACCTATGATAGGCCTACTGGACTACGGGAATACGCGAGATAGGTAAAATGGGAACGGGCACAGAAAGGGCCACGCCAATATTTTTTTATATAAGCACCGCACTGAAGCCTCAAAATAAATCATTTACAGTAATCCACATTTTTATAAGATTACTAGGTTCAGTTCCCCTAGAATGCAACTGAGAAAAGATCCATGGTTCATTGTCTATTTCAAATTTGCGTTATCTCCCAAATGGTGGATACATTGAAGTGTTAATTTTCAATGGGTCGCAGATTCCTCATGGGTCCTGGGTGTGGGAGAGGGATGAGATTGGCATACATGAGATTGCCTTATATACTGATACTCATTCAATGGATCAAACATGCAATCAAAATTTATTCAGTGTAGTTTGAGCAGGAAGAGAGGCGCCCCAAATTAGTCTTTTAACGTTGGCACTGTTTTGAGAAACTCCTTGCCTAAGTCTTCTCAGATAAGGATTTAAAACTGGAGGTCCCGCGTACAGTACGCTTCTGCAGTCAGCTTGTGGACTTTTAAAAAACCTAGTTGTATTTTTCTGAAAAGTAGAGAGTTTAGCCAGTTTTCCCCTAGTTATGTAGATTAATTTATTTGCACGAAACGAAAGTGTTTGTAAATACGCATGCACAGTTTAAGTTTCATGCATGGGAGTCCTTCAACAGATTGTTCGCTTTTTTGCTTGTGTTGGTTCGCTTTTTACAGCAAATTTTGGAGTACGACCATTGCCAGTTTCTACTGTTTTGCAAAGCGAAATAATACGCAGCCAATCAGAGCTCAGAAAAATGTTTAATCGCGTCTATGAGTACAGAAGCGAATCAATGAATGTACATATTACAATGGCATGCCGACAAGTCATTAGCAACGCGGTTAGCAATGTTTGTGAAAAATGCATAACATGAACCATTTTGCTCATGTAATGGAAAATAACGAAGCGCTCACAAGACATTTTGTGACACAACTTTTCGTGTTGTAGGATAAACTTGGCTAGTGGAAAACCACCTCTACTCCTATGCTCCTGATGTGCAGTAAGCCTACAGTATTACTGTATGGATTGATATGAACAGCGAACTGTATTATTATTTAGCACAAGCCTGTGAGTTATATGGGTTTATTTTTTTTCCACTACTGTATCTTTGTCAAAACACAACATTAGGTTTTGATGAGTACCACCCCATCACCACTCCATATCATTGGTACTCAGCATACTGTAGGAATAGTATACTACTACATACAAATTATCTGAAGCCCTATTACTGTAACCTTTCCATACTCAGGCAAAATATTTCACAATAAAATTGAGGTTAAGAAAACACAGTGTCAGTACAAAAGAGTTCAGCACAATGACTTTCACCTTTGGGAAATATTCCAATTGTTGCGCACAAGGGTATCAAATAAATGGCATACTTTTCGAAACGTCTTTACACTATAATTTACATCATGTGTTTCTTTACTTCATATTTCAAAATAAGCAGTAAATACGATGTTAAAGGCAATGCCTGAATGTATTGAAAAACAGCATGAATGGGCCTACTTCAAGTAACCAGCATTTAAATGAAAATTTGGAAGTAAAATTTTGTTTTTGATTGTTTAATAATGGAATGCTGTACTAAAAATATTTAATGATTGCTTGATGAACGGAAAAATAAGACTCTAATATAGGTTTTGTTTCAAATCCAATACACTACAGTACATTGTTGGTCCCAACACTGGCTACTACGCTAGGACCTACAGTAACCAGGTCATTATATGGGCAACACATTCTGTAACCCCCCACCCCCAAGATGGCATGTTGTTTCAGTGGCAAATTGGTCTACTGTATCCATCAATTGGTGCGGATCGTTGCACTTTTTGGATATAGTAGTTAAAACTAATATTAGAACAAAAAACAATACCAAAACACATCCATATACTGTAAATATGAGTTTCATTTGGTCACAAAAGGTATAAATTCTATAACCATAGACCCTTGTGTCAAAAACATGATGAAGTGCTCCTGCAGCTTCAAGTGCCCATACTGTACTTTAGATATTAAATTTTTAAACATTTTTTTAGATGCAGGAAAAAGAGAAACTTATACAGTAACAAGGCCCTGCAAAGGAGCAATGATGAGAATTAAGCTACAGGTAGGGAGGTAGAAAGAGTTTTGAAAATCTTTAGGTTAAAGGATGAGGGGAAACAAGCAGAAGGAAGAGAATTCCAGGGAAACGAGGTTCGGATGATGAAGGAGCGAGAATTGGAGACGGTGCGAACAAAAGGCAATTTCAATAACGTGTGGCGAGTGAAGCAAATAGGGGCTGACCGGGACGCAAAATAGTAGTAAATGTGTACTAGATTTAAGAACTTCGTATCATACGATGCTCACATGGTAGTAACATAAATTTTATACTTATTTTGTACCGTAACTTTTCTTCCATTTGCTATAAAGGTACGGTAAATAGCATCATCCAATAAAATGCTGCCAACAGTGTGACATCAATGTCATTGAAATCACTCGCTGAATGCAGAGGAAGTTGGTAAAGTAAAGATTTTACAGTGTAGTGCTTTTATGAATATGAGTTAATTCTTTTTAGGGCACTAACATATCCCGTGTCACGGTTTTACATTTGATTTAACCTGATGTGAAAGTACAACTTCAAGTACTGTAGGGAGTTGTAATTTACAAACTCCCTGTTCAAAAATAATAAAAATCATGCCATGTCGATCTACAATACTGAATGATACATGATGGCGTGTACAGTATTACATTTCTTGGATTTTAATTGAATTTTATTGGGTTCACTTTTGAATCAATTTTACCAGCAAAATAACCAACCAGTAAAAATTGTGTGTTGGTACAGTAGAGTAGAAAAAAAAAAGGCAAAGGTAGTCAAGTCTAGGCTGGGCTTCTTTCAATGAACATAATTCCACTGTTCCAGTCCAGGCCTGGATTATGACTATATATGTATTGTTTTTTTGAATCCATTGAACTCAACTTAAAAGAGAAAATACCTTACTTTGCATGCGCAAGCTGGCTTTATATGGACAAATTTACCAGTAAAAATGTTCAATTGGGAGAACACTGCGGCAGGAAAGCAGGATCACAGCGAGCGATTTTTGAACGATGTTGTCACATTGGTGGCGGCATTTTATTGGATAATGCAATTTACCATACTTTTAGTTTTAGCAGTTAAGATGCAGTACCGTGGAAATCAGCCATGGCGTGATAGTATTAGTAAGCCCCTTTCTTTAATTTAACACCCAGTGTAGCTCACCTAGTCCTAGATCCGACAGAACCACTAGGCCAGAGGCCTAGCCTTGGTTTTTTTGGCCTTCAATTCAATTAAAATGTGACCCATTGACCCCACCGTAAAGGCCTTCAATTCAATTAAAATGTAACCCATTGACCCCACCGTAAACAGAGGATACTGCTGGCTGTGACAACCTTTCACTTATTATATTATTATAATATATATGCAACACACACCTACTTGAATAATAATCCTTGCACTGAAAATCATCTCATTTGTCGCATTATATTATACTTATTATCATGATAAATATACACTCCTTTGTAACTCGGCTGACCAATCATTCGAAGAACTGATGATCCTTCTCAACCTCAAGACTATCTTTACCTCATGTTCCACCACACCACTTTCACTCTCTCAACTGTCAGTGTCACCTTGCTTGCTGCTACCTTGTGGTTATCTGGTTATCTGCTGCTTCACATTTTGATTTCAATCACAAAATGTAGCGATAACACGCTATCACAAAATCAAATCTATAAACTTACCTTTTACTAAACTTAGATGACCAATATATATGCCAAACTGCACAGGTATATGAGAAATAATGTCTACCTATATTATTCAAATGCAATATACACTCAACAAATCGCGCTTTCTCTCGCCGCGCTCTCGATTGTTGTTTTGCGACCCAAAAAATTAAACATTTCATGCTTGAGTGATCATCCCACCTTTCACCTTGTTTATCCAGGGACTTTCCAGAATTGGGGGCGCTACATGACATTCAGTAGAAACGAGGTCAACGACTAGCTCGTAAAAATGGAATTTTTTTGTTTTTCACTTCTCTCCCATGCTTGAAAAACGTATGGCCATTTAACAACATAAAATAACAAAACCGGTGTCATTAAAATAACAAACACAGTACTGATACATGAATACCTTACACGATAATTTGTACCATTGATTTGCACCTAAATGCCTTCAAATTTAGGCCTGGCCTATGATATTTAACTTTAATGTTGGAAAAATTTCATCGGTTTTTTGGAACTTGTATGACGATTCCGAATTTATTTCGTCGCAATTAAGTCCGCTTGATGTTTATTAATTGACTTAGAAATTTAGAATCACGATAATTAAGTAAGTTGTGAACAAATTGTATTCATTGGAATGCATTAGGTTTATATACATTTTATTGACCCTTTTTCGTTTAAAAGGCTTTAGAAAAAGAGTCCGCTTCACTTTGGAGTGTGGAGTTCTGCACCTAAGCATACAAATGAAATGAAATAACTAAATATATAGAGGCCTAAATTCAAATTAGCAAAGCACAAATAGCCCCAGTTGGTTAGTCGTCTCTGACAATTGCAAGCCCGATCCCGAATATTGATTGAGCGCCATGGATTGATCAGGCTGTTTGTCGTAAAATTACCCTTTTTATACCGACCGTTTAAAGTTTAGGCCTACATAGGCCTTCAATTTTTACCTCCACCGAGAAGATCCCCTGTCTATTTGTTAGCACGATTACACAAAAAAGAAATGAATCATCATAAAAAATAGTATAATGGTACATAGGCCTAATAATCTAGTAAAAGATTAATTTTTGGGAAGAAAAGGTGAAAGGACAAGGTCAAGGTCACGGAAATTTTCAGCGCTTCTTAACTGCAAGAAAAGTGCTATACAAGCAACAATTAACAATTAACAAGTATACAGTGCACCCTCCAATTCGAGACCCTTCTAATTCGGAGACCCCCTCTAAGTCGAGACCACTTTTCCAAAGATCTAAATACCGATCTTCAACATTTTAACACAAAGCTAGCCCTGTAATTGGAGACCAACCCCGAGACCGCCCCAAATTTTCAGGTCCCAGAGGTGGTCTCAAATTGGAGGTCGAACTGTATAACGGAAATTAGATTTTTTTTTTCCCCCTTTGACTTACTCACGAGTATAAAAGAAAATAATGGAATCGCCCATATACGGCCTGTATATTGTTCGGTATCCAGGCACAAGCGGCCGGAGGTATGTGACGCGATCAGTGGTAAAATCTAAAATAATTGTAAATGAAAAAGAATCAAGTAGTTAACACTTGAAATGAGACAGATTAAGAAAAAAAAAATTTAAAAAAAATAAAAAACCGTTTGCTGCACGAAACATTAGAATTACTACCGTACTGTATATCCTAGACCTATAGCTGATGGTTGATGAGAACAATTTTTCGTTAGGCCTATATCATTGAAAAATCATTTGCTCTTAGCCTTCTACCTGACCGACGGTGAAAGGAGGGCTTATGGCTGTTGTACTTTACGTGGGATCATCTTTATTCTATAATTACATCGAATATCACGATTTCTTACATTTTTAGGCGCAAAGATCTTAAGACCAATAGCGAATTTAATCACCTAAATGGCAAGTCCTTCACAAAACATTATTTAATGTATTAATTATCATATTCACTTCCAAAGCACTGTATGCTTTCCATTACATTTTATGTTTTTTATTTTCATGCAAAAAATCAACCAACGTACTTGCCGTCCATTTTTAAGATTAAATTAATTTCTTTGATTTTATGTTTTATACATTTTATATCAAATTTCTTTGGAAATTCATAAATTGACATTTTCCTTTTACATAAATGTTACAACTGCATACACACAACGTTGTATAACAGTCGCAAACGTTGTGAACTTTGTGGTGAGGGTATGTAAAAAAATAAATAAATAAAAAATAGGTTCCCAGCGAGAGCGTGCTTGTCGTAGGTTCTTTTTTCATACTTTCAACTCATCCACGTATTCTGAGTTGGCAACTAATTTGAATAACTCAGATCTTACCAGTGGCTTTCCGTGTTGGCAATTCACTTGAATAACTGTGCAAGTAACAAATTGTTGAATTCTTTTTAAGTCTTATCTAGTATAACATATTGTGTAAACTTACTTTTTATTTTCATCTTTAGCTTATGACGCATCCCATCATTCCTCCTACCGGATTTACGTTCACAACTTACAAGTGAGACGATAGCTGTGTTTACAGCCCTCCTCCATCCCCATTTTCCTGGGGGAGTGGGCAGTAGACACAAAAAACCACGGTTAACACCACTGGATTGAGGCAACGTTACAGCGTTGCTTAGCCATAAATAACTTTATGAATAGGGCATACGTATCTTTGTTTCTTCAAAAGAGTGTTGAATATATGCAAACCGTGTACCGTACTCGCGCGAATAAGCGCCCGGGCGCCTAAAATATTTTGACTCCTTTTGAGGGGCGCTAATTCAAAACGGGGCGATTATTCAAACGGGGCGCTTATGAAAACAGAGTGGAAATTGAGGGGGCGCTTATGGAAATAGAGGAAAATTAAAGAGGTGCTTAAGGGAAATTGGAAATTCAAGGGGCACTTTTTTTTTAATCGAAGATAAACGAATGGTTTTGGTGAAGAAAATGTAATCGTCGAGAGAGCATGGCTCATGGCAAGAATGTTGGGGTATTTAAACAACAGCAGATGAAATTTGTGGTGGTGGTGGTTGGTGGTGGTGGTAATTGTGTGTTGGCCATATGCCAATTCAGATTAGCAGGATCATTGCAGGGTTTCTTGCTTAAATACGAGAGTGATGATGTCAGTTTATTTTTGTTGACTAAAAATGGCCATACAATATTTTAATTTTTAGATATTAAATACTGTAGTTCTAAATCCAAAAAGGGTAGCAATAAAACAAGAACGGGATTCTAAAGACGCATCAAAACTGAAGCCTTGTTAAACTTAATGGACTGATAGACCGACAGACAGATGGATAAATGGACTGACCGACCGACAATGCTAAAATAGATGCGAGTAGTTGATGCATAAAATTAAGTTTGTGATGCACTGTATTGTATTGATGATTGCTTTTTTTTTAGAAATCGAGGGCGCTTATTCAAACGGGGCGCTTATTTGCGCGAGTACGGTAATACAAATTGTTAGTTAGGTTAGACTGAGCCAACACGACGCCCTCCCTCACTTGTTATATCCTTTTAAGATGTTATTCATAATACAATACAGGTTTCTATTATTATGTTATTATACTTATTTATTTATTTTCATGGATGAATAAATATATGATTAAATGAATGAATAAATGTATTTGGAATGAAAGAATGAAAACGTTAAAAATATATGAAATATAAGAAATAATTTGAAATGATATGAAATAATGATAGACCTATAAAATATTAAAATAAATAAAGTGGGCGAATGAATGAGTGCTCGCGCGTGTTTGTGAGTGAATGAGTGTAATTAAATGACACTGTATATTATGATAATGTGTAACTTGTTTCAAAGTTATCAATCAATAAATCGATGAATCAATCTAGGCTACTTATCAATCCCATATACCACAAACAGACAGAAACAAAAACACATGACGTGTCTTTCTGGAGACAACGTGGTGCAGAGATGTAAACAACGGCAATGATGTTTAGGCAAACACATATAAATTTCTGGGTTTGAGGATGACGATTGACGGGTGAATATCAACTCTCCGACTAAGATGGATTTGTGAAAACATTATCATGAAACCCTTTTCCGTTGATTCTTAAATTACAGGCCTGATTAAGAAGGTAGCGAGTCGGCGATTTCTTAACAGTAGGCTTATTACGTGTGTCTCTGTTCATGAGCCGACAAAATAAAGCTTATTATGTAGTTAAACAATGGTTGTCAATGGACAATGGTTGTATATTTATATAGCGCCTTCCACAGAAATCCGTCTCAAGGCGCTTTTGAAACCACAGGAAACAAAGACAAAAGAACGCGAAAGCGGGGAGGGGGCAGTGCGCACCCCCGATTTTGAGATAGCGTCGCCATCACTACCGTGTACACGCAGGTACCCCGGCGTCAGTTTGCTGGGCTCCGGTAGCTTCCACCAAGGATAAGCTTATGACTCCCCTACCGTGCACTGCTTAGCTGGCGTCGCTACCTCAAGTAAGGAGGTGCGACTTTTCAGGGGAAAAAACTACAGAACAACTTAAAACTACAGAGAAATGAAATGTGGTTGTGAAATTCAGTTCTTCATATTTCATTGTTTAGGCCTATTTCGTTTTGTGCAAATTGTCTGTTATGTGTCATTAACTTGTTTCCGAAATATATTAATTATTACTTTGATTCACTTTAAAGTTGCTTCCCCCCCCCCCCAATTGTTTTTATCTTGTGTAATGCTGTGTGTGTTGTTGAATTTGGGGTTGGGTCAACCGGCTTAGCTACAGTGATTTGGTTCACTTTGGTTGACCTTGGTCTCCCCAAATTTTAGTTATATTTTTGTAACTTTCTATTATGTAGGCCTACATTATGTTGTTTAAAATACCTAATAAATAATGAAATGAAGTAAAGAATATATGAATCTGAATTTTAGTTCAAATCTCATTAGAACCATGCAGTTTTTTTTTTTGTTTTTTTTGTTTTTTTATTTTTAAATGTAATTAGCATTCACAATAATCAGTACATTTATTAGTGACAGACTTAGGTTTAGGAAGCAGGTAGTCATTACGACGACTTTTTTTTATATATTAATCTGTGAATCAAATTCGACATATAGGCCTACATGGATGTAATAGTGGATACAGTAAATGGTTTCTTGGTTTGAATTCTGTCGGTCAAGATGTAAGCACTCTTCCAAAGCATATTAAATCATAACTTTAAAATGTCACAACATTCTGTTGGCATCGTGGTGTGTAACGCTTGGCACTGATACGGTGAGACTAAATTCTTTCAAATTTCATGTCATCATGTATACTTTTTTAAAATAATATTTCACACGTCTAATAAGAGCACTAATTATGCTATATAGTACATTAAATATCTTCGAAAAAAAAAAACCCCAGGACTTTGATTACTTACTCAGCATCTGAACATTGGCGAACATATTTTACACGATACCAAAGTTTATTCTCCATACGCCTGCACTTCCTTTCTGTCCTCGCTCATTCAGTCTTTTATTTCATCGAACTCTAAAAGTTTCTGTCTTCCTCTACTCTTCTTCTCCTCTGTAACACCTTTAATCAAATAAGTAAATCATCTGAGCATTAATTGAGCTACTTAAGATAATATGCTTTACCTTAGCCGCTTATTTGCGCGAGTACGGTAATACAAATTGTTAGTTAGGTTAGACTGAGCCAACACGACGCCCTCCCTCACTTGTTATATCCTTTTAAGATGTTATTCATAATACAATACAGGTTTCTATTATTATGTTATTATACTTATTTATTTTATTACATTATTATATATTTTGTTCTGTAATGTTAGTTGAAAAGCTAAATCAAGAATGAATAAATGAATGAATTATGTTTATATTTCATGAGTAGTTAGGCCTATTTCTTAATTTTTTTCTTATAAGAAGATAATTATAAGATGATAAGAAAACGTTCAATAATTGTTAAGTCCATGGAATGAATAAATGAATGAATGAATGAATAAATGAATGAATGGATGAATGAATAAATGAATGAAAGAGTGAATGAACGAACGAATTAATGGTTGAATGAATAAATGAATCACAAATGGATGAATAAATGACTGAAAAGTGGGTGGGTGGATGACTGAATGGATATGTGAGTAAACGAGAAAAATGAATGAAGTATACTTTTATATTTAAGAACCAGTAAAATTTTGCCAAGACAAAGTGTTCTATTGTTGGCCAATTTCAGACTAAAAATGTTCTTATTTTTTTTTTATTTGACACACTTTTCGAAGATAGAAGATTATTATTGTACAGCAGTATATAACTGTACTGTATTTTAGAGAGTATTATAACATGAGGTACAGTTAAGACCGAAAGAATTTTACAGACCTTTTTAAAACATACTTACTGGATGTGACTAGGCCTAGCTTGATTTGTTGTTTTCTATTTAAGAAAAAAAAACACACCTCATGGATGAATAAATATATGATTAAATGAATGAATAAATGTATTTGGAATGAAAGAATGAAAACGTTAAAAATATATGAAATATAAGAAATAATTTGAAATGATATGAAATAATGATAGACCTATAAAATATTAAAATAAATAAAGTGGGCGAATGAATGAGTGCTCGCGCGTGTTTGTGAGTGAATGAGTGTAATTAAATGACACTGTATATTATGATAATGTGTAACTTGTTTCAAAGTTATCAATCAATAAATCGATGAATCAATCTAGGCTACTTATCAATCCCATATACCACAAACAGACAGAAACAAAAACACATGACGTGTCTTTCTGGAGACAACGTGGTGCAGAGTTGGTTTGAATTCTGTCGGTCAAGATGTAAGCACTCTTCCAAAGCATATTAAATCATAACTTTAAAATGTCACAACATTCTGTTGGCATCGTGGTGTGTAACGCTTGGCACTGATACGGTGAGACTAACTTCTTTCAAATTTCATGTCATCATGTATACTTTTTTTTAATAATAATATTTCACACGTCTAATAAGAGCACTAATTATGCTATATAGTACATTAAATGTCTTCGAAAAAAAACCCCCCAGGACTTTGATTACTTACTCAGCATCTGAACATTGGCGAACATATTTTACACGATACCAAAATTTATTCTCCATACGCCTGCACTTCCTTTCTGTCCTCGCTCATTCAGTCTTTTATTTCATCGAACTCTAAAAGTTTCTGTCTTCCTCTACTCTTCTTCTCCTCTGTAACACCTTCAATCAAATAAGTAAAACATCTGAGCATTAATTGAGCTACTTAAGATAATATGCTTTACCTTAGCCGCCTGCAGGTGTTTTGGTATATGTTTTTCTATCTTCCCAGACTTTTCCTTTATTGAACTGATACTGAAAATCTGAACCAAACTTTGTCAAGACACTCGTGATTGAATAATGTCACTCTTTATTCCAACTCAGAAATAGAATCACTGTGACTGATAGATTATTAATTATTATTGATAACTTTATGCAATATTGAAGTTAAAACTTTGTCACAAGATTGCCAAAGGGATCAGTTTAATAAATGGAATCCTATGGAAACTCAAAATGAATCTTAGTATGTTTTTGGGTTGTTAATATTAAAAACATTTTTTTAAGGTACAATATTCCACACGTCGATCATTTCGATTCTGCTTTTATTTCTTATGTTATTTTTAAGCTTTCACAACAATACATAAAGAAAAATTATAACATTTTACAATGTATTGTAAATGTATTATGGACTTATGTTTTTATTTGTTTTGTTTTTTTCTTTTTTAATCAAGAAGAAACTTAAGATTAGGTCCTGGGAACCCGTGTTGGCAGCAGTGTAGCACCTACCCTATACTTGCCTAGCGTAAAGGTATTATGATCGAATTCAACAGAAAAGATGGTAAATATGAAAGTTGATATGCGTCCACTAAAGTTCATCCTTTAGGGCTAACATAATTGGTAAATTAGGTGTACCCTCTAGGATAAGAACATCACGTTATTGACTTTAATAATAATAATAATAATAATAATAATAATAATAATAATAATAATAATAATAATATTAATATTAATAATAACAATAGTAATAGTAATAATAATAACAACAATAATAATAATAATAATATAATGATGATGATGATGATAATAATAATAATAATAATAATAATAATACTAATAATAATAATAATAATAATAATAATAATAATAATAATAATAATAATAATAATAATAATAATAAATGTCTTATAGAGCGCTTAATACAAAACAGTGCTTCTAAGCGCAGTAAAAGTAACCAAAAAATAAAGAATAAACGCAGAAAAACCATATTCACCGCTCCGTTCTCCAGCATTTTGAAGCTCCCATAATTGAGAGCTCGCCGGAACTGAACTCACAGGAGCTCGAGTGAAAATGGCATCTGACTATCCGATGTCAATCAGATTCAATCAGTTTTTGAGTATAAAACAAGAGGAGCAAAGTAATTTCTAATTTCAGACAATTTTTAAAATGTCAATTGACGCCGTCTCTTTAATAGCCTGTGGAAGATCATTCCAAAGACGAGCAGAAAACAAGATGAATGATCTATTGCCATAGAAAATAGTATCCGGTTTTAAGAAGTTTCTTTTGCCTAGAGGATCTTAATTTAGTTTTTTACAGAATGCATATTTAATTGTAATAACCATGTTCATCATAGTTAAATATTTTCTTTTTCGATATTATTATTTTGTAAAATTGATCCATGTATAACAAAGCTGGAGAGTTGCTGCATCTTTACAGTACTCAAAACATCAGGTGAATGAAGTATCTTTTGCTGTACCTTTCAAGTCATTGTACCTCGAGTTAGAACCTCCTCTGAAATAAAGGGTAAATGGTTGCATCAAACATCGTTGATTCAAAACTCAACGCATAAAAATGAAGATGTTGAGGAGTTATGTGATAATATTCCATTCATCAATCAACACATCAACATTTTCTTAATTGTCCATATAGCGAAGTGTCCGTGGCAGAATTATGGAAAGTGGTGTTACGGAAGCCTAGGTTACGAAATGTACGGTACGCCACCTCACCCATGAAGAGGATCAAGAATGTTATAGTGCATATAAAACGAAAAAAAAAATATATATATATATATGTATATATACTATTTAAATATATATATATATATATATATATATATATAATAGGCCTATATATATATATATAATCATCAAAGGAAGGTAAATACAGTGTTAGAATAAAGGACATAATAATACATCGTGTAGCATAGCTCTCAACGAAAGTAGCGATGTAAATAAAAGAATACAGAAATTGTGTAATAAAATGCCTCTGGCGGGACTCGAACCTGCGACCTCTCGCTGTCAAGGCGAGCGTCATAACCATTAGACCACGGAGACTTCATGGTTCAACAGATTCAAATACTACCAGATACACTCCATTACACAATAGGTACGGCTAGAAACAAATAGGTGCATATAACATAAATCAAGGTAG